AGTAGTCTTAGGAGTTACTGGGAGCACAGGGTGGGGTAGACAATAGGGGGTCTCAAAGGCTCATCAAACCCAAATGTACAAAATTATACTCTTTCCTTCCTCCTTCCTTTCTCATTTTTCTTATCTGTGTTCCAGCCAGCAACCCATTCACTGACTCTTTCCTCACATTCAGTCAATAGTTAATTAAATCTTATTGGTTCTACCTCACAAAACTCTCTTGAATCTTGTCTCTCTTCTCCATTGCCACAGCTACTCTAATGGTGCAGACCATTATTGTGTCTCATTCTGATCATCACAATTGCATTCTGATGGCCTCCATTGCTAGTCTTATCCTTCTTCAAGTGTCATCTGAGGAAACATTTAAAAACAGGATGAATACCACATGAATTCTCTCTTAAGAGGTTCCCATAGCTCCTCTCATTTTTAGTATGGAAATATCTCCTTAATGTCTAGCAAAACTTGGGAGAGAAATCTAAGATGTAAGCTGAAGCTCTAGCTTAGCCTAGGGGGGAAACTGGAGTGATAGGAGGAGGGTCTTGAGAGAAAAGAGAGGGACTACAGTCACTTTCACTTTTCATAAAGCTGTGGAGGAGGCACTTGCCTTGTACCTTTGAGTGGTTTCTCATATGGATTGAAGAGAGAAGGTAAAAAGGAGAATAACCCTGAGGTGGGGAGAGTATGACTGGGTGTGAGGAGACTGCTCCCACTAGTTCATACCTGCCATGCTGAGGCTGTTTGCTGCACAATCAAGGCACAACAGCTTTGGTGAAGGTCTAGGGCAAGGATAAGAAAGAAGAATTCTACCTTGGCAGCAGCAGAAGGTGGCTGGGGGTAGGTGGGACCATGTCACAGAGTTTTCCATATGGCAGCTCTTTCAGGCACTGGGATAAATTAGTAAAGGCTGAGGCAACCATGAGGTAATACAGAACCTGCGAAGCACAGAGAATGAGGTCAAGAGAATCCAACATTGATCTCTTGACCTCATTCCTCTAACTTCTAACTACCCAGGCACCCTGAACTATTTGCAGTTTCTCAATCATATCATCTTCTATCATGACTCTGTCTTTGCAAAGCTTCCTTCCTGTCTTTGCAAAGACCACAGTTGATCTTTTCTGTGAAGCTATGTCTTCCTCAGACTACATCAGGTTCTCACCACCCTGTGCTCCCTAGTAACTTACCTAGACAATTTTTAGGGGAATGTTTACTAGTTAGATTGTAACAATATGTATATATCTACCTTTCCTATTTTCTAACTCTTTTAAGTTAAGGCTATATCTTATTTATAGGTGAAGAATAACATCATATTCACAATTGAATCCTAGAGCCTACCACATATTCTTGTGCATAGTGGACATATATACATTTGTAGAATGGATAGCACTGTGAGATAGATAATGTGTAGATCCATGTGACAGAGCAAAGATTCTAACTCTGGCCCATCTGATTCCCATCTCCATCCTCATGAAGTGCCTCCATGCTGCCCACAGCTAGGACCTGGCTTGAGGGCAGAGTCCCACTGAGGCTCTATGAGCAGAGGCACCCTGTGATGGGAGAGGGGGAAGGGGAAGCCCACAGCTTGAACCATCTAAGATGCAATTTAAAGTGAAAGAAAAAAAAACATGGAAAAGAATCATAATAGAACCATATGTATAACCAGTGATTTTCTCTGTATTGGTAGAAAGCACTTCATAAACCTACTGAAATGAATTCACTTAAATTTCTGAGGAGAGAAGCCAAGAGTGGTTGGTTTTCCCTTGGTAGAGGTGAGGTCTTTAAGACAGTAATTCTTATGTTATTTGGGTTGACTGTAGGGTACTGAAAGTCCAAGTTTACGGATTCCCATAGGAACCTAAAATTTAGATTTTGCTGGACGATAATCTCTATGAGGCCATGGATTTTGCCTGTTTTTTTTTCTTTCTTTCTGCAGTAGGTCTAGCACAACAGGGACAAATACTTTTGGATCTTGTTTGTATAAAATAAAAGAGAAAAAATATTGAAATCTAAATTCTGGGTTTGGTAATTTACTGTGAGTTCTTTATTTTAAATCCATACCTTTAGGTTGTTTGATGAATTTATAGCACCACAAATCACATAACCACCAGTGCTTTGGATCTACACAAATGCTGACAATATTTTATATGTCAGTGGCATTTTAGGCTCTTGGCACAACAGATCTGTGAGGCAAATATTTGTTTTTTGACACATACTGAAACAACCACCCACTTATGTGGGTAAATACAATATGTGCCAAGCTTGGCTACTTATTTCATTGGTCGAGGCCAGTAAGAATTCATCAGAAGTGACAGGGTCAAAATGATAGCTTGATCAATTCTAATACAGAGCATGTGACATGAATGAAATTTTGAATTAACACAGGTCTCGGGTAACTTATGTTACCAACTATTCTATCCAGTATTTTATTAACTAGATTTCTGGTTTTATTTCCATTTCAGGACTTAATGTTCCATGTGGCATTGAATGCTTAAGCTTATTATTCTATATCCTAAGAATCCCCAAACGCCAATTCAAAAGAACCTATGCACCCCAATGTTCATAGCAGCACAATTTACAATAGCCAAGTGTTGGAAGCAACCTAAATGCCCATCAGTAGATGATTGGATAAAAAATTATGGTACATTTACACAATGGAATACTATGCTGTAGAAAGAAAAAAAGAACTACTAAACTCCACGACAGCATGGGTGGAACTTGAGAGCATTATGCTAAGTGAAATAAGCCAGGGGGCAAAGGACAAATACCATATGATCTCACCTATAAGTGGAACCTAACCAACAATACAAAGATGCAAGGAAAATAAGACCAGCAACACTGAAAGGAAAAGAAACCAACAGAGACAAGAGGGAAGGAGGGAGGGGTGGGCAGGGGAAAAGGAAGGGAAGGGGAAAGTCAAGGAACATATAGCAAGGACTCATGGACAAAACAAAACACAAGTGCATATCAGACATTGTTCTAGCTCTTTGTAAGTATTATCTTATTTAATTCTCACAATTTGATGAGGTTGGCACTATAAGTATCACCATAAGAGTCCCATTAAGGTCACCTATTTGCCCAAAGTTGCAGAGCTATTAAATGGAAGAGCTGAGATTTGAACCACATAGTAGGAGGACTAAGTCCATGTTCACAATCATGCTGTATTTTGTCTCCTGTTACACTATTGCCAATTAATTGCAAATTTATGTCAATATCAATGTCCAAAATTCTGAGATATTTTGGGAGAAAGTCAGGATGATTGGCAACCCCTGAGGCACCGAATATTAAAGCTGGATGGGACCAGAGACATCATCTAAGGCTGCATCTCAGCACCCCTTCCCAAATCCTCAGCCTTTCCTTGATTTCTAAATGTTAGAATGTCCCAATGACCCTTCTCTTCTATGTCCAGCTGTCTTCCCAGGTAGTATCATCTAGCCTAGTGCCTTATGCACATTCTATATACTAATGATTCCCAATCCATGAGCCGCAGATCAGTATATTTAAATTGTCACTAGGGACCACCACTTGCAATAGGCATCAGCAATAAAACAACTGAAATCAAACTCTCAGTTCCCTACCCATCCCACTGCTCTCCTTGGTTCTCCATCCTGGTAAATGATAACATCATTCATGAAATAGCTCAGGCTGAAATCCTTGAAGTCATGTTTGACTCCACTTGGTTTTATCTAATTCATCAGCATGTCCTGACAGCTTGGCCTTCAAACTTTAGCTAAATTGGACTACCTATCATCATCTCCACTAACATCACCTTAATCTAAGCCACCATCATCTCTTGCTGAGGTGCTTTAATAGTCTCCTAAATAATCTAGTTGCTTCTACCTTTTTTCTTCTATAACCTCTTTTTTGTACATTAGTCAGAATTTTCCTGTTAAAATATTAATAGCATAATTTCACTCCTCTGTATAAAATGTCCACATGGCTTCTCATATCTCTCAAGGTAAGAGCCAAAGTCCTTGCTATCATTTATAAGGCTCTACATAAATCATCTGTGCCCTGCTATTTTTCTGAATCCATTGCCTTTCCTTTCCCCCTTTCATTCTAGTCTAGTCAGACTGTACCTCTTGCTATTTTTTCAAACACATCGAACTTGTTTCCATATAGGAGCTTTTGTGTTGCTGTTTTGCAACCCTGGAATGGCCTTCAGCTAGATGGTTTTAAGGTCTGCTCCCCCGCTCACTCTGGTATTTGCTTGAATGTCATCTCTTCTGAAAGCCTTTCTACGATCAGCATATCTAAATACATGTCCTTCATTACTCCCTGACTTATTTCTCTTCATTGTACTTGTCCCACTACCTTACATTCTAGCATGTGGCTTATTTGATAATGGTCTGTTTACCATGATAGATGGTAAGTTCTGTGAGGGCAGAGGCTTTTTCTTCTTCTGTTTACCACTTTAATCTCCAGCACCTTGAAACTTTTTGGCACAGAATAGGTGCTCACTAATTGTATGTTGAATGACTGAATACATTGTCCAATAAGGCTCCTTCATGGAGGAGTTGAAGCTCAGAGAGCCTCGTGATCACATATCTGGTAGAGCTAGAGCTGGAATACTGACGTTTTATTATGTCTCAGCATTAACCTCTCTAAATACCCAATTATTTCTTTTTAATAATTATTGTAAGTTGTCAAATGATACTTACTATGACTGTAACGGGTGCTAGAAGCATATAGTATTTTGCCTATGGGCGGCTTCACAGTTGGTGAATTTAGTGGCACATTAATAACAGTAGCAAAAATAATAATAATTAATGATGGTAATTGTACTTATTCATGTTTAACTTAAAAATCAACAATAATGCTGTTTAGAGGCTTTCTTCAGCCCATGGTTTACATTCTACTTTCCTAAGGGATGAACACTGCATTTCATATCACCAGAGGGGTGCACATGCAAAGTTCCAAACCTTACAACTCTCTACAGCAATGGTATTGTACTTACCATATCCAATAACTATTCCATTTCCCAAGTTAAACACATGCTCTTGACTTACCTTCCAGAATACTGAGCTCCACCTGTTAGGTGATCTCTGGATCTGGAAATCATCCTCATACTCCCAGATTGAGGTGGTGCAGTCCTCATAAAACTGGTGCAGGTAAGACCGGACTCCGTAGCGCTGGTACCCACCCTCGGGAGCAGCCTGTGTCTGCTGGGACCCACAGACATTGCTGCAAGAACTCATCCTTCCCAGCTGGAATGACAACATCCATATGTATCAGCCCCACGGGCTCTGGCCACAGGGTCAGAAGGCATATTAAAGATGAGAACCAGGCTGTGCAATATCAGCTTATTTGAACAATACTCTTTTCTTGAGAGAAAAGACACTTTTCAAGACCTGCCATTCTTATAAGCTTAATACAAACTTTCCCTAAATTACCAATGATTAGAACTGGTTTTCCGTTAGTGAAACCAGACATAACATCACAGCTCACTTAATTTACGCGTACATTTAAGCAGGAAGCACATGAAAAATAGAAAGAATGAAGCTGAGATTTTTACTGTCTTGACAAGCAATCTTTAATCTCTTGGAATCCAGTAGCCTTTACACATACATATAAAGAATTAGGCAGGCACTCACTTTCTACAGATGGAATTTGTTTTGGCCTGTCCTCTCAGATGCTTAACTGTGTTTCCTTGTGGAAACTACATAGTGTTACTCTTAGCAGTTTGAAATTTTGCCTTTCTTTGGATCTAATATATCTTGTTTCAACATTTTAACTAATTGTCAAGTTGTACAGAAGCTTTATTAAAAAGCTTCTGAGCAACTTACTCTGCATACTTTATTAATCACAAATGACTTGGACAATAATTTACACCTCATTAACTTTAACACCAGGTAATTCAGTCATTATTGTGGATACATCTGTCCATGTGGGATGCTAACGTGTTATGTAGAGAGTAGACCCAGCCTTTTATTTTTTCCCATTAAGTGTCTAGTATAAATAGAAATTCAGAGAATTATTAAATTAAACTCTATTTCTGACAGGTTGTTTGGGACTCCAACTTCTTCTTTATTGACCTAATAATTACCAATAGAGAGAGGCACCTGATTATTAATTCATGGCAAAAAATAAAAGGAATTACTGGAAGATAACAATTTCGGTGAGTAAGGGAATTCTGAGTTATTCTGTCCTTTGGTTTTCTGATCTCCATATAAGCAGATTAATATGTAGCTGGAGACATGCAATGTTGTTTAGAGTTTTCAGTTATCCTCTAGATGGTTTCCCCTGTGTGGACACAACCTGAAAATGAGAAAGCAAGGAACAATACAGAAGGGTATTTTCCCAATTGAACCAGGTTTCCTCAGCACTTGTACATAGTTCAGGTTAATAGAAGACATTAAATGTTTCCAGTTACTTATCAAAAAATCAAATAATCATGTATATCTACAAGGAAAAAACTAATCTAAATTTCCGCAAAGTGCCCCCGTGTAGCCACTTAGTTTCGATGGCTAGAATCATGGGTTAAAATCTAAATTGAAGCCAGAGATATTTAGCATTTTCCTGTCCCATGGCCACAAAGTGAACCTATAAGAATGTCTTGTAAATGTTTGCCCTTGGCCATAATGGGTTTTAGTTAGAAAATGTAGTCAATTTTAGGAAAATATGGCTACGACCTTTAAAAATAAATGGTGCAATCAGACACTGAAGATGGTGACCAATAGTCTCATCTTTATAAGTACTGGTTACTATGACATGTAGTGCCCAACTCCCCGTGCCTGTGCCCTCTTCCTGTTTCAGTGGAGCTACCATGACAGAAATCACCCAGGAGGAGAGAGCAGGTAGGCAGGGTTTTTTTTTAACTTTTAAGAATTTCAGAAGGATATTACCATTTCATTTAAAAATCAAGGTTTTAGAATGTACTTTGCCTGATTAGAACGGCAAAGTCAGATGAATCAAATTCCTTTGTAACCTAGTTTTCATATTTTAAATGCCAAGATGACTTTTTGGTACCTTTTATTTAGTGCTTGTACAATGAAGATGATTAATAAGGGCCTATTGCTAGTGATATATAAGTAGAACAATTTTAAAGGCACTTTCTTTTAAGACATTCTAACAAAATTTCAGTCAAAGGGAGACAGGGTTATTATTACTCCTCTGCTTTGTCATTGAAGAAACTGAGGCATAGAAGAATCATCTGCTAAAGGTTATTCCATGAGTCAGGGAGCAGATGAAACATGACAATACATGGACTGAATCACACATTTAGATAATTAGAACCAAATCATTCAAATATAGGTTTTTCAAATTTTTATAAAGTATCAGAGACTTTAACATAAACAAGTAAAAAAAGTAGATGTTATAGCAACAGTAAGATTTATTTTTCTTAGATCTGAACTAATTCTTTCTCAGGATTAAGATTTCATGCAGAGTAGAACCATGTGCGCACTTTAGTCATTTCTTGCACAGCTGGCTCCCAGCACACCAGGTTAACTATTTCTGCTTTATAGGATGAGGTTCAGTAATCTAACTTTATTAAACACTATATGGATATAGAAACACATAAGAGATATAGAAAGTGTCATAAAACAAATGTTTTTGATGCTGAGTGATGGAAGGCTCTACTCTAAGTTGAAATGGATTTTTAGCAATGCTAGGTACATTCTAGAAAAGGAATCCTAACAAGGCTTTCCCCCTCTCCAAACATAGGAACATGGCCTGTGCTGTGCTAACCACACAGAGCAGAGAATGGGCTCTAATGCCAGTTCTTGATCTGCAACTTACCGGTCATGACATTTCAGGCAAGCTCATTAACTTCTCTGGGCTCTGGTTTTAGCAACCTTAAGATAAGATGGTTGCACCACATAACCTCTGACTCCTTCCAGATATAGTTGTCCAGTAGTCTTTGGCCATGAAACACAGACTGAGTAAATTATTTTTGTTGGATAAACAACTGGGTTTACTAATTTCCCACCTCTTTCTAAACCCTCATTGATTGATTGCCATTGTCCAAAATTCTGCTTTATTATTGTATGTATGAATCGTCCATTCAAAAGAGCATTTAAGCTATTAATTAGATTAATTACTTGGTATTAAGTAGAATGAATGGTTGTGTAATGGTTTGTTTAATACGCTAACTTCAATAACATGTATGTGGCCTAAACTAGTAGTTCCTGGGGGTCTTAGAGGTTTGTATATCTTACCAAACATTTAACTTAGGATTTACTCCTAGAGGAGAATGACCACTTAGAAGAACGTGAATTTTAAAATATAACACATTAGAATGAGAATTTTTCCCCTACAGAATCTCAGCAGTTATAGTCTTCATAGGGAAGCCAGTAACTTTTTGACCCAATATAGAAAATGCTACAGTGATTTGGAATCTACTTCACTGATTAACACCTCCAGTATCATAAAGAGGATACACAAAGTCACATTATAAAGTCACTTTAAAAGCTGGGAAATTATTACATGACAAACTAGGGTTGAGGAGAAATGAAAGATATGTCAAAGTCTTTTTATTTTGACTTGGCATTTACTTAATGATCAAGTTTCATGAGAATTCTGATATTTATATTTCAATAGTTATAGTAGTAACAGCAGCAAAAAGAGTAACATTAAATCTATGACTGTTGTTAAGTGACAGATCCTGGAGGGCTCCCTTTTTTTAGAGAAAGCCTTAACATTCCAGGAAGTGCATAAATAGTGTAGAGAGGTGAGTGAAAATATTTTCCAGTATTGTGTTTGAATGAGTCCTGTGAATACTCATTTTATGGATGCTCTTATGGAGTCCACTGCATCCTCACTGCCAGTGCGGCCATCTTGATGGAACACAGGCAACATTAGTGTCTGGCTGCTTGGTCACCTAGGAGGAGGCAGTTGTTTGTGTTCTTCCTGAAGGACATTATAGGGGCTGATAAGTGAGGATCCATCCTTGTTTTTTCTTTTAATAATCTGTCATCTCAATTTCTTGTACAATTATACATTGAAAGGATATTCAGTTATTAGCAACACAGTGCACATATCATACCTCAGATACCCATAGAAGGAGGAAATCAATCATAATTTAATTCCCCTTCTTAAATCTTTCAAGAGGCTTTGTGAAATCAGAATATTAAATATCAGCCCTCTGTCACTCTCTATCCTCTTATTCAAATTTGTTTGTCTTCATAGCATTTGTTATTGACTGATGTTCCATTGTGTCATATCTGATAGCCCAGGCACATGATAGATTGTAAGCTACAGAAGGGCAGGGAGTGTTTACCACTTTGAAACTTCTTGGCACAGAGTTCTACATAGGTCAGTGTGGGTGACAGCCAGAATGGTCCTTCATTTTTCATCCCTCTGTTCCTTCAGTATTTTTAAAGCCCTAATTATGTGCCAGATTATGTGAGATAATGGCTACAAAGATGAGCAAGGCATAGTCTGCTCTTAATAGACTCTTGGATTAGAAGGAGAAGCATTCAGAAAGTAATAATTGCAAGAAAACAAGAACCAAAATGAGATATTTGCCGCAGGAGGAAGTACAAATGCTGAGGATCCCTTGAACAATTCCTCTATCTGACAAACAAATCCATACACATGTTATTTTGATCTCTATGTGTTCCAGTATCCTACAGTGTCAACTTACAGGAAATTTGAATTTGTCTAATATATGCATTTACTTTTTATTTTACTTTAAAAATGTACATAACCATGAAAACAGAAAAAATATATGCTTCATGAAACTCTCTAAGAGTATCACAGACTTTGTATTTGTCTTCATGGTCTCCTTAAGAGAAGGTTGACAGAAAATTGAGGTACAAAAAGGATGAATATTTCCCCATGGCTCTGTGTGAGTCAGTTGTGAGTTCAGGCACAGTCCCTATTCTATTTATTCTATTTGAAATTGTCATTCAATTTTCATACTGCTTTTCCCTTCCATAAAATCATTTTGAGATAATGAGAGTGAAGTTCCCATTAGAGTCACTTTTCTACAGGGCCAGTGCTGCGAGGTATAGGTACACAGCTGATTTAGGCCATTTATTCAGCACCAAACCAAATGGCCAATTCACTTAAAAGACTCAGAATGGATGCAGGAAGACATGAAAGCCTGGTAACAGCTTTTCCACTTTTAAATCAGGCATTCTGGAATTACATAAGCATGACTTTAAAACTTGAAAATGTGTTTTTACCAACAGATCATTTCAGTTGTAGAGATTGTTGCTCTATATTATGAGATTTTTCTTATACCTCTAAGCCATTGGCTATGCAGCCACCATGTAATTTTTAACAGAGGGGTAATGATATGCAATTATCTTATTATTTTACTCCTTCAAGATGTAATTTTAAGAAAGGTATGTAAAGTCCAAAACCAAAATGAAAAGAACTCATATTCTCTTTAAATCTCTTCTTTGTCTACATGCAGATCACAAGGTGCTTATAAATCAACATGTGATAAGGTTTGAGTCTTACCTTTGAAGTCCTCTTCCTCTTTTTGTTTATTCTTTAAACTTTCTTTTTAACGGCACATTCTTCAGTCCTATTTAAGAAAAAAAAAATCTCTGCAGAATGTGATCCAAATAAAAACCTAAATTTCACGATCCATTCGTATAACTTATAAAGAATCATTTCACATTGACAAAAACATTAACAAAAAACTTTTTGTTCAAGAGCAGAGATAGTATTTTTTTATAAAAGTATATATTTTGTAACTTTTTAATGGACTTATGAGAGTTTATAGAGTAAATAAGGCAATATAAATGAAAAGGACTCTGTAAACTATAACACACTATACAAACACTATTCTTATTTCAATATAATTATGTCCCATGCAATCAATGATACAAATTAGATGGATTCATTTGTATTTTATGAATTCTAAGTAAAAAGATTACTTCCTTCCAAGATACTACATAAACCGTTCCATTACATTGTAAAATAAATGAATCTTATAGCCATTGCATTTTTCTGATCTATTTATATGCATTTTATACTTAGTAAGGCTCTTTGGATGATTTACTCATTAAGTTGATCTTCACTTCTATATCCTTTTCTTCCCATCATGATCATTTTTACTTTCCATCTGACTAAGAAAACCAGGTGCCTGCAAGATTAAATTAAAAAGCCATTGCCAGCTATAGAGCTATTGGTTTCCTGCATTACTCTAGTCATGTAAAATAAAATAATAACTGGGGCATATTTTTCAAGAGATCATTAATAATTCTTTCTGATAAACAGTTTCCCATCCATTTTCAGGAGAACTTCAAAGACTTGAGGTGAGTAAGCCTAGTTGAGAACTGACAAACTGTTTTCAGCATTTTGAAGGTTCAGTGTATATGAACCATAGCCAAACCTACTCCAAGATTCACTTTTTTGCTCCTAAATTTTATTTTGTGGGCATCCTGAATCTGGATAAGCAAAACACAAGCCACTATTATTTTTCCCCTCTTCCCTGTTTCCTCCTCCTCCTCCTTCCTTCCTCACTTCTCCTTCCTCCTACTCTTCTCCTCCTCTCTCTCTCTCTCTCTCTCTCTCTCTCTCTCTCTCTCTCTCTCTCTCTCTCTCTCTTCACTTTCCCCTCTTTCTCCCCCTCCTTCCCTCCCTCCCTGATCTGTGCCTGTGCCTTTCGATTAAATCTCCCTCCTTTATCTGTCGCCTGCCCCATTTTCTTTGCCGGAATTGACTCCACAGTTGCCCTTCACCAAAGGCTGGCCTGGAGCCCAAGGAGCTCTCCAAGGTTCTGAAAACATTTCTGCTGCTGAGCCAGGAACCAATTGAATAAACAACGGCTGTTTAACTCCAGCTCTGTTTTCTTTGAGGTCATCACCCTTGGTCTTACCCCCACCCAGCGCCCCTTTCTAACTACACAAGAAGTAGGTTCTGAGGTAACATGAAAATACTTAAACATTTTTAGACGTGGCAAAGGAGTGGGGAGGGCAAGTGGGGGTTAAATTCATCCTGGAAAACAAATCAAACCAGCTTTCCAATCTCCAAATACATAGGATTAACTTTAACCTATTATACAACTTTTCTTGTCTCACAGGAAAGAAACTCGTAAGTTTTCCCTGTATACCTCCCAAATTCTTACATAACACAAACCACAAACCGTCAAAGCATGGAGTTGGCTAACCCTTATTTATACACAGATTTTAATACCATGGTTTTTGTAGAGATTTGTGCACCTATAATAAACATGAATGAGTAGCGTGTGTGTGTGTGTGTGTGTGTGTGTGTGTGTGTGTGTGGTGGGGGGGAGAGAATGAATATGAATATTTGTGCAGAAAGAAAGAGAAAGGGTAGGGAGAACTGGAGAGGCACACCGAGTATAGATCCCTGCACCGCTGGGCTTTACCTGCTCCCTTCGTTTCCCTGACCCGTGGAGCAAGTGCAGCCAGCTAGCCGCAGATCTCTCGCCGGGGTCCCATCGCCGCCACCGCTGCCGCCGCTCCCTCGGCAACAAGCTCAGCTTGCTCAAGATTGACAGCTGGGCGCCCCGCGTGCCCGCGCAGCCGAGGGTCGCGCAGCCGCCGCCGTAGCTGAAGGGGCGGGATCCGCGCTGCCGGGGCGCGCAGCGAGTGGGCGGCCCCGAGTGGTGAGTAGGCGGGGCCTCGAGCGACGCGGCGCGTCGGCTTCCTCACCGCCAGCACCCCAGGTCTCTGCTTCCCTGGAGAGCGACTGCCATGTGGAAGATCTGGCGCTGTGCCCTGAGGAAGCTTCATGGGTCAGGGCCGGGCATCTTGTCTGGCTTTCTGTCTGGTCCACCCTTTTCTTTTCTTGCCCAGCACAACGTCTGGCCATGACAGGCTGAGTACACGAATGCACGTATATTTTTAACGAGTGGAGAAAGCAGGCAGATGTCTGCTTATTCAACCACCGCCCCATTTGGGATGTGTAGAGTTTTCTCCCCACCGTTTTTTTTTTTTTCTTTTTTTGCGGGGTCGGCGGGGGGGAATCCTTCGGGAGACATAGGTGAAGAGCTTCTCTGGCTCCCAGGGCGCTGCCCAACTGAAAGAACCTTCTCACCTCTGTCAGCATTGCGCACGTTCAGTGCCTCACTTTGCCCCTTACCCCAACCAACATCAGGGAGTTTCAGCCAGTGAAATAGAAGAACAATTAAGAAAATGGATTATATGATGAGATTAAAGAAACACACATACACACACACACGAAGACAAGAACACACGAGAAAAATACCTGTGAATATCTCATAATTTGTGTGGGTGTGGGCAAGAGAACATATAAACACAATGACCCTTCTGCTTCATGGGATTTTCTGCAGACCACTGGTAAGTGACATTTAATGCAAATTATTCCTAAAGTAGTTTATATTTGCACAGCCATTCTACATATAAAATAACACCTAACATTTTCATAGTGCTTACTATGTGCCACGTATTGTCTTAAGTACATTACATATACATTAATTATGTGAACATGGAGTCATTCAGTCCTCACATCAGCCCTAAGTGGTAAGTATTCTTTATGATTCCAATTTTGTAGATGAAGAGGCTGAGGCATAGAGGGCAGCGACTTGCATCCATGATGGTACAAGCTTTACAACCACTTGTCATGGCCACACAACTACTAAATGGGAGAGGTGAGCTGGAATCTACAGGATTATCTTCTAGAGAAGATTTAGGGTGTAAGTGATATTTTGCCTAAAAAACACAAGAAACAACTATTTTTATTAAAAAGTGGACAGACCAAAGCAGTTGAGCAATTTTTCCAAAAGGAACCAAGGACAGGGATGGTTGTATCTCTGTTCCACCTGTTCACAACTCTTACTATTTCAACAGCATAGTAGTCCCCACCCTTATCCATCGGGCATATGGTCCCAGGCCCCAGATATTTGCCTGATACCATGGATAGTACTGAATCCTGTATATACTGTTTTGTTTTTTTCCCCCTATAATCCATACCTGTGACAAAGTTTAATTTATAAATTAGGATTTTTTTCTTTATTCAGTCAAAACCTTTTACCTATCACTTAAAAGAAGCATTTTACAGCTTTTCTGTGGCATATTTGAATTGCCAGCATCACTATTTTTGCACTTTCAGGACATTCTTAAGTAAAATAAGGGTTACTGGAGTGCAAGCATTGTGATACCTCAACAGTTCATGTCATAGGTCTGATACCTGAAGTGGCTACTAAGTGACCAACAGGCAGGAGCATCTACAGGGTGGAGATGCTGTACAAAAGGATGATTTGCGTCCAGGGTGGGACAGAGTGGGATGGTGTGGATTCTGTCATGCTATGCAGAACAGCGCACAATTTAAAACTTCTGAATTGTTTATTTCTGGAATTTTCCACTTAATATTTTCAGACTGGTTGAATGTTGGCAACTTAAAACGCAAGAGCAAAACCGTGGACTGGGGAGCGTGGAGACTACTGTACTTTTCAACACTAGTTAAGCCTGTAGATGCCATTTCTTTCTTTCTCCCTTCTCAGTATTTATGAAAGTGCATCTTTTGGGTGTTTTGACATGTTGCTTGTTAACGTCTCATATTTAGTGTGTGGGTCTTGTGAACATCTATTTGTTCTTAGATTGTGACATGACCAATGTGTTTGCCATCCTTAAAAGTTGATAAACATCAGCACACATGCAAAAATCTAGAGGTTCTAAGTGATACTTTATCAGAGATTGGGCTTCAGCAAGGGCAGGGCTGACTTCCTGATATTTACCATGTTGGTTTCTGATAAGTGTCCTGGTCTTTTTTAATAATGCATGAAGAATCCTTAATCCATTAATTCAGAGAGATAGTTTAAACAGAGCTTCAAGTCAGACAGACCTGGGTTTTAATCCTGGCTCTGCCAATTCCTGCTGTTTAACCTGGTCTAGTTTCTTCACGAACCTGTACCACATTTTCTTCATCTAGAAAATGGTTATAATAATGTCACTTTATACAGTAGTTATGAGAATTAAGAGAAGTTACAATTATAAAGTATTATAACAAATAATAAACACCGATACACAGTAAATACTCAATAAATTATAATCATAACTATTATTGTTGTTGTTATTCGCTAAATGTTGTGAGAGTCTAAGGAAATTTTCAGCTTGGAGTCTCAAGGCTTCTAAGTGTTCTGAGCACTCTCCATTTGCCCCATCTCTTCTTTTACCACATACGCTTCCAACCTGTGCTGTCACTAGCCTCTCAGTGGAAGTTTCTGATGAGGTGTCACAGGAATGGATATGCCTATGCAGGAGCCTGGGCACAGCACAGGCCTGCCAGATTCCACCCGTACATCCGCCTTTGCTTTTCTCTCAATCTGAAGTAACGTGAATTACTGAGATAAAGTAAAATATGATTTACACATTCCAGGATGCCCTTAAAATGTAAATTATCACCATTATCTTGCTTTTGGCCAACCATAGCTGTTATTTATTAGTTTTGCAAACATTAGGGAACGAAGATGTTCAAAGAACCCTTGAAACAACCAAGTTTTCATTTATAACATATTGCATAATTTCCCGGTGTATAGTTACAGAAGCATTTACTAGTGAATATCTTAATTCATTATTCAACACACATTTATTGAATGTCTTTCATTTAGAGCACAAAGGGTGGGACACAAACAAGCATTATGGAAAGTCACAGAGAAGAAAGGTCAGCAGAGGTTGTAGATTCCTGGGTTATTTTCCAAAAGGCTGCAACTAAGCTTCAACCTCTCCTTATAACCTTATGTTTCATGAGGCTCCTTAGAAGTTTATTTCTTATCATACTTAGTTTATTCTGTATTTTTCAAGCGCAGCTTGCATTTTCTTCCTTCTCTTTACTTATTTTGGTGGCTCTCTACGCATATTGCTCCATATATGTGTATCTTTGAGTACTGCCAAGTCCTAACATGAGCACCACTTTTTCAATAAAGCCTTCTTTGAATATGCTTGAATACAATTCATTGTTTTTTATTTAAACCTCCTAAAGCATCTAGTCCTATTTGTGTTACCTGCCAGTTTGTATGCATGTATGTATGTATGTATGTATTCATTTACTTATTTACTTACTTATTGCTTTGTATTGGCATTGTTTGGGTATCTATTTACTCTTCCCTTGGTAGGCTTGTAAGCCACTTGAAAGAAGGACTTAACCTCAATTCACTTTGTATTCTGCAAATAACTAATACATCACTTTGTACAAATTAAGTACTTATTTTTGGTGAATGAACAAATTAGTGCATTAATGATGTGGATGTAGAGATGAGCCTTGTCACATGGGTAAACTCTTTGAAAAAGCAGGAGAGAAGAGGGTATTATGATGATACACTTAGGCTATGAAAAGCACAAGGTTCAGGACGCAGGCTTAGTTCAGAGATTTGTTCCTAAAATTCAGGGTCTGAAAGAGGAGGATGGGACAGTGATGAAGAAGGAGTACCATATAATTCATTGACTCGCCCATGACAGGCAGAGCCCTGAGCCCCTAGACACTTCAATGGTGGTTTACATTGGTTCTGGGATGACTGCGTGGTCAGCCTCTGTCAGCCTGGCTGACAGCTGTCCAATCTGAGGCTACAGTGTTCTGTACCAGGCAGTAGCTTGTAATTAGTATGCTCTCTGTGTTCCCAGACAGAGCAGATGTCTGTCTGCTTTTTTCTGCTTAATGATAATGACAGGTTCTCCATGATCAAGATCCAATTTCACATTTTCTGAAACACTGTGGCTGAGAAATTCTGTTTGGCCCATTGTGAGGCCCATCCTCCCCTTTTGAGTGAATCTTCACTTTACCGATTAGCATTGACCAAGGGTGCAGTGGCAATGAGTGGCAGCAGCACTTAGCCTTACTCAGGTGAGGCAGGTGATTGGAGGGAGTACCAGGCATGGTCTCCACCCAAATATATTTCCAATATATTTGCTTTGCTTTTCTGCATTGTTTTCACTCCCACTAACAGTAGGACCTTTGCTGATCTTCTAAATGCATTGCTAGAAGAAAGTATTTGACATTTGACATAGTTTCTTCTTAGAAGATTCTGTTTGGAAAGGGAAATATGTTTGCTGATCTTTAGTTACCAGTAAGAGAGTCAGTCAGATCCTGTCTAGTAACAATGATTTGGGGATGGAGAAGGAATAAGTTAGGGCTAGAGTGGAAATGTATATTTTCAGAGTGGTACATCTGCATAGTAGTTTTTTTCTGTTTACCCCCCAGTTTTATTGAGATATAATTGACATATAACATTGTGTAAGTTTAGGGTTTCCTGTGTTGATTTGATACACGTATATTACAAAATGATTACCACCACAGTATTATCTAACACCTCCCTTGTGTTACCTAATTACTGTTTCTTTTTCTGGTGAAAACATTTAAGATATACTCTCAGCAACTTTCAAGTACATAATATGGTATTATTAACTATAGACACCACACTTAAATTAGAACTTTTTCATTTTATCACTGAAAGTTTGTAACTGTTGACCAATGTCTCTCCATTTCCTCCATTCACCAGACCCTGGCAACCACTACTTTT